CTCAAAGGCAATTAAAAGAGATCTGTTTCTAACGATTAAAAATCTGCCTCATCACTCTTTTTTTACAGACATGTCTGACGCAAGAAAGAAGTACTTAGAAGTAATAGAAGAAGTTAGAAAGAAGAAGTGTTTAAAAAGTGTTTAAACACTTAGCTGTTCCATTACTTTTCAAGTTTTCTCCTTCTAAATGAGACTTTATTTCCCTCTTCTGTCCTTAATAACATTTGAAATAAATAGGTGATTTTTTAAAATCATTTTACTTTTTAAATTCAATGTTTTCATAAAAATGAACCTTTGATATTTAAAAATCATAACAGATGAAGAACAATTGCCAAGGTAAAGCCAGATGAAAGGCTTAAGAAGTCCCCTAGTATGTGAAATAGTGAGTTCAATCAACAGCAATCTCATAATCTCCATATGATAAGATAATAATCAAGAAATCTTCAAACTGAATAAATCTTCTACGCTGTTTCAAAGCCAGAAATACTGTAAAATGATCACGTCAAAGAACGGAAACAAATTCACCTCCCAAGAATGAGATCAAAAGAGGTAACTGACTCTTTGATAATGTAATCTAAGTAAGGATACGTTTCAAAGTAGTCTTCATTCCCTTGTTAAATTAACTTTTTAAATAAAATTTTAAATGCTCTTATTGTATATATGATATGTTTTAGAATGTATACACGATTTTTAAATTTAATTTGTGGCCACTCATTCATTACAAAACCTAAGAGGAAAAAAAGGTTCCAAAACATTGAGAATGAAGTGGTTGTGCAATTTGATGAATTACAGTTTTCATGACTGGTTTTAGAAATGGGCAAAACTTAACCTACTTTGTGTCCTCTACAGATGTCTTTTTCATAGGAGCTAAGGGGGGCAGAGGTTTATATTCCACACCGTAATTATGCATTCTAAAATTGCACACACGCCAAGCGATCAAGAGCAAACTTTAAATATATTTTTTTTAAAAAAAGCTGGTTAGGCCAAACAGCTGGAGGGGAGGAAAAGAGTTTGGGGGGGCTTAATTATTAATGCCTCTGCTTGTCTAACAAGCCTTCAGCTGTCAGGATCTAGGAAATAAATAGCCAGATCCAAAGTGTTGTTTCACTCTTCTACTGTAAAGTGTTTTTCTCCCAATCTTGGATATAAAACATGTCTTTCACATTGTTTTAAGATGTGTCTTATGGGACTTATTGATCATATGGCTGCTCAATAACTATCTTTTCATTTTTATGCTTTATCTAATACATGGTCGTGGGGGAGCCGGAGCCTATCCTGGCAAGCAACGGATATGTCTTTTCACTGTGGGAAGAATGTGGGGAGAACATACTAAATCCACACAGATAGCTCCCCAGTAATTAAAACCTAGGGCCTCAGTGCTGCAAGGCAGCAATGCTAACCACTGTGTCATTGAGCCACCTCTCCTCCTCAATATACAGTAAAAGGCTTAAATATCAGTACATGACAGTTTCTATGTTCTGTGTGTCCTACTGTATTTCAAGTGTTGTTTGAAAATGCAGTATTTGAAAGATTTTTAGATACAGTAGGTAACTGCATCAGTTTGTAGAATTGTAATCATGGACGATCACTGCGAGACAAGTTAGTAGAATGCTTTGTGTTGACTTCTGCTCAGGCTTCTCAATAGATACCTTAAGGAAGCTCCACGTTGTGACTCATTAACTGACACTGCTGTGAACAGCACAGTGCCCAGCAGACAGCACAGACGTGAAGAGCTGCACATCTCTAACTGACCTCACTCCAAACTTTCAGGTTCTTTGCAGTATTTGGGAGTCAGTACTGAATGACACATGGTGGAAACCCTTATCAGTTTAAGCCCTTGCAATCCCACTGCTGGTCAGAAAGATGTGGCCACTGAGAATTCTGGCCACAGCTGGTAAATGACATTGCCTGTATCCTAGAATAGTCATGGAATCCCCAAAGTAATATTATAAACATATTCCATTGGAAGGCCATTTGATGTTTAAAGCTTTCCAGGTAGCACGTTATGCAGGAGTAATATTACATGAAAATGATGATGAGGGATGTCCTATTATTTGATACACAGATGTGTATTTTTGAATGTTCTGCTAACATAAAATCCCCATTAACAATGCATGAACTGCCATTTTAAAAACAGAGTTTTAAGCATGTTTTGCCAACCTTTCCCTTTGTTTGATGAGAAAGTAAACAGCCTGATATCTGGACAAAGGCCAACATACTGCACGGTGCCAGTGGCAGCAGCTTAAAAGAAGCACTGAAGCAATACACTCCAGGCTATTACTGGAATGAAAACAAATATACTGGGAAGCTTTTGTCTCCCAAAGTATTTTTAGTACCAAGATAAAGTACATCAATTAAGCAGTAAATGTATACTTCCATCACATCTAATATCGACAGATGAGCATATTTCTGTTTTTGTAAGATCCTACAATACTGCTTAACCATATTATTGTGCAGTTTTCAAAATCATCTGCAAACACAGACTGCCAGCACCTGCTCACCTCCCAAAGAACAGAGCCAGAATGTCTCTCGAATACTTCTAACTGCATCACACAGTGACCTCTCAACAGATATTTTTTTATTTCATTGTGTTTTTCTTTTTTTCATCTGATCTGATTACAAGCCATATGTTTTGAAAATGTGCAATGATTCGTTTGTAGGTTTTTCTCATGAGATTCTAGTGCATTTCCCTTTCTTCCTTTCTTTCTTTTTGTCTACTTCTTTCTTTACAGGAAGCATTCCAAAGCCCTCTTCAGCTCAGCAACTTAAACACACGTACTGAATAAACTGTAGTCAAGCACTTAATCAGTGAGCCACTCAGACAAACTGCTTTCCACACTGCAGCCTGATTCACACAGTGTATTTTTGTACATACTGTACGCACCCTATAGAAAATAGGACAATTGTTTTCCTGAGTGACTTCCTGTAGCTTTTTAAAAAAAATACACAGGTGGAAATAGAATATCCCTTTATATCCTCAGAGATAAAATAAATAAAAGAAGCAAATAAAGAAGCAAATGAGCATATAAAAATGCAACTATGAAGCTAATTTGGAAATTGAATGGTGGTCATTTTTCTCTACAGCCACTGATTAGCACCATGAAATTTCATTGTTTTCATTAATGGTGCCTTCATAAGAAATTACACTTACAGGAAAAACCTCTGAGCTTTTCAGACAAGCTGAGTCTGGCCCTATCAAAACGAGTAGATATGAAGTACAGATCATATATCTGCATAAATTACATCCCACCAAGCACAAAATGGACCAGACAGAAATAGAGTAATAATTTTTGGAAGCTAGATTTTGAATAAATTATCATGCAGGATCTGACACATATGCTCACAGTAAGCACATACTATATGTACACAGGGGAGTTATTAAATAGTGTGATTAGAAAAAAACACATTTTTTTCATTTGGCCAAATAATATATAAAGTATAAATAGTTACTCTTTCAGCAGTGTCAAATAATGAATGCTATTCAAGCAGTCCTGTCAGTGTCTTCGAAGAGCCCTGACACCTGCTCTGTCAAATCTATCTTCCTAAACTGTGCAGGCAGGAGAGACAATGACCTTAACATAGAGACCCTAATCTGCTTCTATTAGTACTTGTTATACAGGAGAGCAAACAAGAAGCTGAAAACAAACTGGAAATGCTCGACAAAGCACTCCTTTTATCTCATTAGTCCCAGTGCTTTGTTCAATGTATAAAACATGATGTGCACAACCGCTTAATGTATAATCTGAGCAGGAGTGGGAATGTGTGTGTGCTGGGGGTGTTCTCACAATAAGTAGCCAAGCTTACTTCCTTTTGTTTCTTTAAACAGCTACTGTACCTGTCTGTCTCCTCGTGCTGGACAGTGAAAAAGCAGGAATTCATTTGGAATGGGTTTCCGGAAGTGAAGGAGAAGTTAGTGATTGAGGTTTATCCCCCTGTGCTACACATACTGTACAAACTGATACAGTCTCTTGCCTATTTTATAAAACAATTCTTTCCATCCTAGCCTCCAGTTCCTTTTTTAAAAATCATTTCAACATCCTTTCACTCGCGGTTTATTTCTTCCAGGTATCAATTTATCGGTCTTCAACAATTCTCACCAGTTCACCCTGCTCTTGTAGATCCCCAAATCACCTCCACTGCCTTATACCTATGGTACCAACTCTTACAGTACATTGCTCTGCAGTTACTGTACTTGCATCCTAAATGTAAGATATAATCCTGCACTGTGTAAGATCCTGTAGTTACTACTGCACTGGGAAATGCATGTTAGGTCTGAAACTAATGTTTTCTTGTGCTATACTGGATTTCACAATTGAAAGACATGTCTGTCAAAAAGCAAAATAAGAAGCAAGGAGAGGTGGCAAGAGGAATAGTGTTGTGCAATAGTGCAAATGTTTTACAAAAATAGCCCTAAATAAGACAGTAGCTTCATGATTCTTCTTCATTAACATTAATTTAATAGATAACAAGTAAACCAGGTGATAACCGGTTATTTACAGTGTTTAGGATAGGGTAAATATTCATTTTATTAGAGATTTTGAAGGTGGTAATCACATGATGTCCACCATGACATTTGGAGTGCCAGCATCTACAGATCTCAATCATAATCAAATGTAATATTTTTCCAGATATTCATTTAAGAGTTCAGAAGAATATTTAGCAATATGAACTTTTCAATTTGTCTATCATATCTAACAACAGTGTCAAGTCATGTCAATCCAGTCAAGTACAAAGGCAGCAGGAATACTATCATTTGTGGTATGGTTATTTCAATCAGTAAGCGTCAGACGATGCAAATTTCTTCCTTTGGCAGTGTAATGTGTGTGCAATAATATTCTGTTGGATAAACTATCTCATTCAAGGTCCTGCTGCTGTCCTGCATCTCCCTCGATCATAATCAAGTATCAAATAAATATTTTCGGATAATATTTTAAGAACCCTTTCATCGTCTTACCTGGTTATGAAGATTTAACCCCAGTTTTCCCTCCCTTCCCCCTTACCGATGGGTGACAACTCAGGCACACTTCCAATGTAGGGTCCCTCCAGAAACTTGGGTTCGCTGTCATTGATATCCTGCACCTTGATGATGAACTCGGACTCGGGTTCAAGTGGCCGGTCAGTGAGACGATCGCGGGCCTGTGCACGAAGTGTGTAGAAAGTCTTTTCCTCCCGGTCCAGTCTCTCAGTAGCATGGATGTCACCAGTGATCTCATCGATGATGAAGATAGTACCTGCGCCCTCTCCAGATATGGTGTACTTAATGGAGCCATCCCCTTCATCTGAATCTGAGTGGATCTGCAGAGGAATGAAGGAAAGTTCAGGACCCTGTTGTGAATTAGATTTTCTATTGTTTTGTACCACAACCAAGTGCATTTAAAACATATATGACTTGTCCAACAATGGACAGCATAGTGGCATCGCAGTCAACGGTGCTGCCTCAGATTTCTTAGATGCTGGGTTCAATTCTGTCCTGATCTATGTGTAGTTAGCATGTTCTTACTGTGTGCTCATGAGCTTTCACTATGTGATCCGGTTTCTGCAGTTATGTGAAGAAAACTGCCCATTTAAAAAATTGCACATGGACAAGCAATCCTGGAATTCTTAATTTTATTTTTGGGGGCAAAAAGCAGTGCTCTTGAGATGCTGGCTTTGTTCTGGTACTTTGGAAATGTTTTTTCTTGTAATTCCCTTAAGCTAACAATCTAAGAAAAAAAAAACTAAATCTACACTAAACCCCTGCTCCCAGTTTCCAGCCTCCAGCCCCTACAGACTGATGGATGCAGACTGGAAGGTTTTCAGGAAATGCACATACTGTAACAATAAGAAGACTTTCGTAACAGAACTCTCTTCATAATTTTGTTTGCAGAGAATATACAGTATCATTGTTAATGCATGTCATAGACAGCTGGTATTCTTAACAATGAGAACTCCAGCACTATTTGGTATTTGAAAGTTTCTTTTCCAGAAGAATTTCTAATATAGTACAAGCTACTAAAATAATCTCTCTCGTGTTAATATTTAATAAACCCTTAATTAAATATGAGCTCCTATCCTCCCTCTAGGGATTTTCATTAAGTATTTGCCACAAACCAAGGAAATAATGCAAGGTCTGTGTCGATATTGCATTTTTTTTTTCATTTTAAACCTTCCCCCAGCAAGACAAATGAATGCTCAGAAAATACACACTTATTAGGGTATCAATATTTAAGCGCTAATAAACCATTCATATCTCCGACAGCCAGGAATACAGAAGCCTAAAATATCAAAAGCTCTGGCTTAGTCAGGCTTAACAGTTTCAGAGTTGGAAGAAATCTTTAACAGTTAAAAACAGGTTTATGAATCACTGAATATACAGTATTCCTTCAAAGGGTTTAAGTCAACTAATATCAATCAAACAAGAGTGAAACACTAAATATAACATGCAGCACTAGATTAGTTATTTTCTATAAATTCATACATGTCAACCTGCAAAATGTAATGGTTCTTCCAAGACTATAGTACAGGATATCCTGTACTAGTCACAGTTTATTTAATTTTTACAACTTGCTATCAGCTATGGAATGTTGTGGAATGTTGATGCTATTGTAAATGTTTCAACCTTTAAGGCATTTATTTTTGTAGATTTGAAGCATTCATTACATTTATTTTTTCTCCTGTGATATTGTTTTACCTACTGTAACAATTGTTTTGTCATATTTCTCTAGAAACATAGTGCAGTGTGTCCTAACAACAGACTGGGGCATTTCTTCAGAAATTCTAAGTCAAAGGGAAAAGAACCCTCTGGGTTCTAAGTCTGGCTGAGATTCAAAGATCTCACAATATTTTGCAATTATATCACATTTTAAGCGAAATGTGTTCAAATGAAGCCTAGCAATATTGGTAATTTTATATTATTCAGTGCCTTTTCTGCCCTGCATTTTAAAAAAATACACATCATCCTACACAAACAGTGCAAAGGTATTTTAGTGAATGTCACCCACTTTGTATAATTTAAATGAATTTATTTAGTGTACTATTTGTCACCAACTTTGTATAACTTAAATGAAATGATTTAGTTTTTATATTTTATTGTTTAATATACTGGTGGTTTGACTGTGAGTAGAAATATAAATCACTAACATGCGCCTACTGGGGGTAATAGGTTGCATAATATAAAGAAAAGAAGCATGAATCTGTATCTGAATCCATCTGGCAGTGGGCACTGTTGCTTTCTTTCCCAGATTATTACAGAATGTGTTCATAATATTAGAAAATTACTTTCCCTTCTGCTCAGGCACTGCCAAGTAAGTGCACCAGCTTTCACCGATGCACTGTGAATATAAAGAGATCATATTTACCATAATAGAGTCCATATTACACTATGTAACTGGCTGAATAACAATCACTGGGAATCAACTCAGTAGCAGTGATTAGTAACTTGCATGAGAAGCTAAAGTACATTAAATAAGACTGAAGTAAATTGGTATGGCAGATTGCATTTCTCCATTATATTGTTGGGCAGAGGCCACTGACCACACAAGCATTGGAAGTGCCTCTGAATCACTGAAAGACGAAATATTAACAAAAAAAAACTGCAAAGGAATTTCACAACATTTTCCATTGATGTCTGAAAAGCCATCAACCCTTGTGTTTGTTTCTCTTTGTTTTTTTTTCTTGTCTACAAATGTATGTAAACACAATTACCAACTGAAGATCTGTTTGCGCTTATTTAATAAAACATAGACTCGGGTACTGTTGTTAATAGTAAAAATTCCAGAGCCCATTAATAGAATTTTACATAGATTATACGATTATCCCCTTAAGGCCTAAATGAATGCATTATTCATGGTTAGCTAATGAGAAATGAACCACGCATTGTTTATTCAAATGTTGATTATGCTTGGGAGCAGAAAAGCTTTAAAAAATTAACAGAAAAGAAATGCAATCTGGAAACTATTCATAACCTGCAAGTAAAGCCAACTAACAAATGATTTCATATTCCTAGGGCTTACAGTAACATTTTGTTATCTTAAAACAAGCTGGGACATAACAGGGAGGGAACTCATTGATTTTAGCCAATTTGCCTGCAGGTTTTAGTAAGGAAGGGTGTGTAATTTGCTTTCCAATGTAGGCTTATGTATTGATCCATTACTCAAGAAGTCCATAGGCCTGTGCCTCATCTGCAGGTGAAGGTTGTAGGTCAACTACGCATTTCTTTTTGGGCCTACAGATATAACATCCAACTGTTGTTAGCCAGTTCTGTGATTCGCCTTGTTTTTCCAATTTGTCTGAGCATACTTTTATTATATGTGGCAGGATCTCCTCAAGCTAAGATCTTGCGAGGTTATTTTTCTAAAGTGCATTTTTAAATTCCTGTGAATATCCTGACAAAATGAAGCTACTGTACATTTAAAAAAAATAAATAAATTCAACTTAATAAAGGTTCCAATGTCAAACAAAGCTTCTTTGATTATATATTTTCTGGTTCTTGTAGTAACAAGTCTCACAGTATATAATGATCCTATTATGGTGAAACTGCTCTGCTAGGTTGTTAACTTCATTCAAAACCCTCTTGGTAGGGGACCCATCTTCTGGTGTAGCAGCTTTTATGTTTATTTAGACAATGTGGCTTAGAACGTTACTTGCAAACTGATACTTGCTAAGTCCGCAAGTATCAAGTGCTGGCCGGGTAGCTATAGTGGTTTAAACCCAGGATTTTCAAATAAGTAAGTCAGGTTGCCCTCATGGTGGAAACGGGACCCCAGGATTCTCAAAAATATAAAGGCTTATCTGTAACAACTGTAGATGCCTGACTGACAAGAAATTATTTTGAGAAGTTGCTACAATATTTTTGACACTCGCTTTAGAATGTTTTGAGAAACATGGCCCATTTTGCAAACTACTCTTTTAAGGATTGTTTGGCCATTTAACTCCAAAGTGACAGGTACCATTCTAGGGCCATGTGCTGAAATGGGGTAGCTGCAGAATTCAAATTACCATTGACTTTGGGAACTGCTGCACTAATTGACTTGAAATGTGGTGAGCTTCATCACATGCAGACCTGTTTCAGAACCTCACAGATTACAGTGATGCTATTCAGCAATATAGAATACTTCTAACAATGAACTAAGGGCCCATGCAAAATGGAAACAAGGCAATGTGAGAATGCTCAGCAGTGCCACAGGTTTGGGCATTCTGCAAGTACATAAAAAACCAGGAATGAGGACTGCCTCCAAGCACTACTTTCTCACTGCCTCTGACAACCTGTCTCCCACGGTACTCGTAAAAGGCTCTCCCATCGAGAAAAATAATTAGCCTTTCATGTTTCATTTCTTGAGCACTGGAACACTCTCAATTGAGCTGCCATCAACCACCCATGTGGTCACAAAGCAGGCTGCTGACACACCAATCTGCTCCATTTCACACACTCTGCCAACAGAGTGAAGGTTTTGTGAAATTCTGTTCTTGCATGATTGCAATATGCACCCAAATACACAGTACAACTGTGCAGGGCAATTGGCTTATAGCAAAGCTGACCTGTGATTAACAAATTGAAACAATTACCACCTTTCTAGGCATGACAACATTCCAAAAGCTGTTAAAAGGAAGAAACGAAAAAGATCTGAAAAGCGAGTGACACGTGATTTATTTGAATTTAGATCAATGTTAGGAATCTAAAAGATAGTAAATGTAACAAGGAATTTTAACACAGTAATAAAGAGGCCAAATATGGTGCAGTTTAAAAATATTCTCAAAACATAGAAAATGCAGTGTTTTATAACACTTTGGATTAGGAGTCTGCAAATCTCACTTACAGTATACTTATTCCACTTATTCATTGTAATCTGCAATATAATAAATAACATTTTATTCCATTAAAATGATTAATAAAATGATTAACAACATTTATTATCAAAGTCAGAATGCTATTATATATGCTCAATATATAATTGAGTGTTACAAGCTTGTTTACAGAGTACATTTGCCAACCTTAGGGAACAGTTTTGCCTAGATTTAAAGAATGTGTAGTTATGCATTATTTAATTTTCTGTTTGAAAGACATGACAGAATGTTCTTACAACAAACAGTGAAGAGTGCTATAACACAAATCCACTATTTTTCATCACTCCTCCCCCACAGATAAAGCAGCTTGTCACTATTTGACTCAGATTTGTACTGTACTGTACATAGAAAGCATTCTTAGAACTAAGAACACATCCACAGACTGGAGTTTCAGACATTCAGAGTCTGCCTGTGTGGACTTTTGAAATAAAAGTGAAAATACATTTTATTATCTCAATTACCTATTTTTAAAA